GAACCAGTCACGTACAGGACCGATCCAAGCTGCCGAAAGAAGTGGAGCCGCAGGAAAACGCCCCGGGTTCGGACACCTATCAAACAGCGTCTGAAAAGAATGCTGGGCCGGCCACCTAGGAACCATAAGGACTGCTCTCGTGAGAACGGGCTGCAACCGAGCCAGAACCCGAAGCAACAGCTGGACCAGGAGAAGAGAAACAGGTACCCCCACCTCGACCAGTCCTGCCGAAAAGCATCCAACGTGAATGCCTCGCAGGCGGGTAGGGGCGCCACACAAAATGGGTGACGCCTAGACCACACCGACTCGAAGACGTCCATGGCCAGGAGTCCATATGTCCGGCAGAGCCAACGAAACGAGTCTGCGATGACTGGCCAATCCGCGAACAGAGGAATGAACTGAGACAGCTGTCCGCCAGGTTGCAGGACACACCCCGGACATGAACTTCACGGTTAGCCAAACCCCGAGAAACCAGCAAAACGAGCCACTCTAAGGAACCAACCCCAAAGGTCAACACCTAAGAGAAACCCTGTGGTTCCGGCAAGAACTGCCAGAGAACAGTCCGAATGGGGCTGAATGGTAGAGCACCGAGTGACCCAAACCTTCCGAAGCACAAACCAGACAGCCACGAACTCCCGAACCGTGCTGTGAGCCCAACGGACAGACAGACTCCACCATCCCCGGCCGACCTGGTGAGCACTGGTCACAAAGCCCCAGCCGAGAGATAACCTGTCTGTGAACACATCGAGCGAAGGCTCGGGGAGGTGCCAAGGCACGGAACTCCGAAAACCCCAAAGAGGAAGCTGGTGACACAGCACCAACACAAGATCCCCGGAGGAACGAACCCAACGATTGCAAGAAACAGAAGGGGAGTCTCCGAAGGAACCAAACAGATGCCGAAGCCAAACCCGACCCCGCGGGCAGACCAGCACGTCAAAGTTCAGACTCCCGCACAACCACTCGAGCAACCCGGGACCCCCTCATGAACAGCCAAAGGCGGGACCACAGCCGCAGTAACACTTCTAGAGGGAAAGACAAGGAGTGGCCCAATAGCCCTAAACAAGGCCCAGGTCCGAACCCGAGACGGAAACGGATGGAAAGGCCTCCAGATCACCAGGAAACCAAACCCGGCGATCTGGAAAGAACCACACCCCTGGCGAGCAGACAAACGGACCAATTGGGAGCCCACACCAGCCAGTCGTCGAGATAGGCTTGACACTGAATCTCAAGCAGACTCAGACAGGGCACCAAGATCCGGTAAAGATACAAAAATACACCAAGTGCCAATAATTGACCTGGAGGTCCAGGGCCACCATCAAGGCACCCGGAATCAACAGAAGCCGGACAGAAGACAACAGTCCTCTGAGGAGGGCATAGAATCCAGGGCGCAGACTGAAAAAGTCCAGAAGAACCGCAGATTCGAAAGGCCCATGTCCGCAAAGAGCAGACGGGGAACCCCAGAAGGATGGGGCAGATCGACCACGCCCACCAAGATGACATGACGAAGTGCAGGGGAAGAAGCCTACCCCGCCAGCTCTGAACCCCCCAAAGGGGGAGAAGCCGTCCACCGCCGCCACCAGAGGCTGGAAGACAACCAAAAGTGCCCACCAACAGCGGGACCATATGAGAGTCAATAAAGCAAGCTGCTCCCCCAGCGCCCCGTCAACAGAGAAGGGAACAGAGCCCCTTCCGAAAGAAAAAGTACACATACACATATATGCATATCATGTATATACACATACACATACATATACACATACACACAAAGTATGTTATACGCTTAGGTAACAAGGTATGTTACACTTAGGTAATTACACTTAGGTAATTACACATGCGTATGCACATATACATGTGCACACACACAGTGTACACATGTACATGTGTTCACACACACATACACTTGAAAAGAAAATTACAAGCCGCCGACCAGTGGGCAGAGCACATGCCGGCCAGGCAAAAAAGGCACAATACTACATCAAAAGGCCCACCTCGACAACAAAACCTCAAAGTCCCAGCAAGACCACAACACGTGCCAAGACCCAAAAAGATCAGTCTGCAAGCCAGGAAAATCCCGGAACTCCAGAAGGCAGAAACCGGGTCACACACGAGAACACAAAGCCCCCTGAACCCACAAAGGGGACCCAAGAGGAAGAAACCTCCGGAACGAAACCAAAGAACCCAAAGGAACTCGGAATTGAACCAGGGGGAGGCCAAACCACCATATTTTGACGGCGGAGAAACACCAGAGAAAGGCAAAGCACAGCCCCCAGACAGAACCCCATGGGAAACGGTCATAACAGACCGAAAACCGAGGGACAAGGTGTGGGAGCAAGCATAACAGCCAGGGACACTGAGCCCAAACCCAAAGGCCAAGACCCAAAACAGACAAAAAGCGAAACCCGGTGTAAAATCAATACTTAAACGTTCCCAGAGGAACAGGAAATGGGCAGAAAACGCCAGAAAAGCAAAGAAACGACAACAGGAGAATAAAACCCCTGAAAAAAGGTGAAAACTCACCCAAGAAGCTTGCTCGCACACCCAGGCACATGTAAACAAACCGCAAAGCCGCCTTGGTGGCCACACCAGGAAACCGGCAGACGAAAATGGCCGCCAGAACAAGAGGGCTGTGACCGACGCTAAAGATATGAAAACACGCCAGCAAAAGTGGGAAGCAAACAGACTGGATGAGCGAAAAACGCCGCCCAAAAGCAGAAAACCCAGGCAGGAGCAAACCGCCCCAGAACTACTAGCAGGCATCCCCCACAGCCCCGGGAACCAGCAACAGAGGCCCCAGGGCAGAGCCGTCCTCCAAGCCCTCCGCCCTTAAAGAAAATCCATGGGAAAGGCAGCAGGAAAGGGCCGCTGGTAAGACCCAGAAGTCTTAGCAGGAGGAACAGGCTCGAAAACCTCTGTCCCCCAACCAGAACAGGGCAGCCCTCGTAAACCGCTCGAGTCTCGGCTCCACCGAAACCCCGCCCCAACCTCGAAACCCGCAGATGGTCCGGAGCCGGGAACAGGGAGGGAAAAGGGAGAACAACACCTAACCAAAACAGGGCGGCCTCGGGGCATCTGAGTGGGAACCAACCTAGCATGTTGCAGCAACCTAACCTAGCTTGCAACACGAGCCCAATGTGTAATAGTCAACAAAATAAAATCCAGCCCATCAACCATGAAGAGCTCAGTCCCCCAGGGTACTGTGCTTGCTCCAGTACTTTTTTTCATTCTCATATCGGACATAGACAAGGACACAATCTATAGCACTGTATCATCCTTTGCAGATGACACTAGGATTTTCATGAGAGTAGGCAACATAGAGGACACGGCAAACCTCCAATCAGTTGTAGATCAAGTCTTTCTGTGGGCTACAGAAAATAATATGGTGTTTAACGAAGATAAGTTTCAGCTCATGCGCTACAGAAAAAATGAAAATATAAAAACGGAAACCACGTACAAAACTCAGGCAAATATCGTAACATAGAACGAAAAGGCAATGTAAAGGATCTGGGTGTATTCATGTCGGAAGACCTTACCCTTAAAGAACACAATAAAGTAGCCGTCACAACTACAAGAAAAATGACAGGTTGGATAACAAGAACTTTTCACACTAGAGATGCTATACCGATGATGATACTTTTCAAAACGCTAGTGCTCTCTAGAGTGGAGTACTGCTGCACAATGACAGCCCCTTTCAAAGCTGGAGAAATTGCTGACCTGGAGAGCATGCAGAGATCCTTTACTGCTAGAAGCCACTCAGTAAAACATATAAACTACTGGGACCGACTAAAGAGCCTAAATCTATATTCCCTTGAGAGCAGGCTGGAGAGATACATAATAATTTACACGTGTAAAATAGTAGAGGGGATGGTCCCAAACCTGCACACAGAAATAACATCACATGAGACCAGGAGGCATGGCAGGATGTGCAGAGAAAGTTTAAAAAAAAAAAAAAGCGTTGAAAAGTTGAAAAGCAGAGATGCAATGGGTACTCTGAGTGAGAGCTCTATCAACATCAGAGGCCCGAGACTGTTCAACACGCTTCCACTACACATAAGGGGCATAACTAGCCGACCCCTCACAGTGAGAACTTGATAAACACCTCCAAAGGATACGTGATCAACGAGGCTGTGATTCGTACATCAGGCTGCGAGCAGCCGTGTCCAACAGCCAGGTTGACTAGTCCAGCAACCAGGAGGCCTGGTCGACGACCGGGCCGCGGGGACGTTAAGCCCTGGTTGCACCTCAAGGTAACCTCAAGGTAACCGAAGGAACTTGTGGAAGGTGGCCCCAAGCCCCAAGGGCAGTACTTACAGGGCACCTAGGAATGATAACTCTAGGCACATGCAGCCCGAGTACTGTAGAATCACTCCTGGCTCGCGCACCCCTAGAGGACAGTCACCATTCACCAAGCACAGTGCTGAAAATCACTGGAGCCAGAGCACACAACCTGAGCCTCTAGCATCAGCCTTAGAACTGAAGGGTGAATGGCCGGCATTGGGGTCTGGGGCTCCCCTTTCCCCCTCCCAGGAAGAGGGGAGCTGCACAGACAGCAAACATGATGTCACATGGCGACGTGTGACATCATGCTCATTTACTCGTTTCTTTTTGGGGGAGTTCTATCCACTTGTTCAGCTCTTTGTAGCAATTTTCACCAGAATAGGGGATTTGTTTTGGGACACTTACCTTTCTGGGTGCCTGGGCTGGTCGATGGCAGACATAAAATGCTTCCAACCACACGGGGGTTTTATAGGCCATTGCTCCCCATGCCTCTCTGAGGGGGTCAGGTTCTGGCTCATGGTCCCCGGTAGGCCCACAGAACTCCATACACATGACTAATGCCAAAGTCTGACACTAGCATATCAGCCTGGATAGGTCCGGGGAGCCAAAGGGGCTCCCCCCCCAAAAAAATGGGATCATTGCCATTAATGGGTTAAAATACATACAGTATACTGTATATATATTTGAATTTAAAGTTACAGTATAACTAATTAATTCATTCCTACCACTGTGTTTAACTGCATGACGAAGAAGTGCCACTTTACTTCTATAACAGGCTTTACATTTTCCACACTTGTATGGTTGTGACAGAAGTTTTTTTTCCAAGTCTGTCTGAATTACATCATCCTTCACAGCTTGTTTTTTGTGATCTTCACAAACATCTTTTTCATTTACAGTCAGAGTTTTTTTCTCTGCTTCACTTGTAGTTAAATAATCACTCAGAGCACCAGGTAGGCGAGTATTTCGTCGTGGACGTTCCATTTGCATATATTAACCTGAAATAAATCCACAGTTGAATGAAATGAAAAGCCTCTTTGTAGCAAGTCCCCAGCAGAGCCGTCTAAACAGCATTAAGGGCCCATGGGCAAACCAGTGTGCTGGGCCCCAATGACAACCGCTCACAGAAATAAAAAGTAAATGATCGATAATATTAAACATATACAGTGGTACTTCGAATAATGATCGCCTCAAATGGCGAACATTTTGGATAACAACTGGCCCGATCGCCGACAATTCGTCCCGTATGGCGACCGCTCGTTTGAATAACGACGACACCACATGGTGGGATCGTGCTGCTTCTTGCACATTCTCGGATGCCTCTGACGATGCAAATAAATTATGTTGTTTTTGTTTAAAGATGCTAATGATGCTTGGATATAAAGGAGTGACTGCTGAGATGTTGCAAAGCATTGACTTTTTTGTAGAAAAAGAAATGAAAGTTTTTGAAATACAACAAATGTCAAAAAGGTTCGTTCGGTGTTCGGCAGGTAGGCTGCTCCATGTTTCTTAAATAAAAAAAAAAATAAATAAAAAAATATGAAAATTTTTGAAAAAAACAAATGTCAAAAAACTTTGTTCGGTGGTCGGCAGGTAGGCTGCTCCATGTTTCTTAAAAAAAAAAAAAAACGAAAAATAAAAAACCAGCGTTGAATGGAATGAAACACCATTTTCTGGGTGAGACCCGGAGGCTCCCTGGCGCTATGCCGCGCTGATGTGTATATATTAGACTGTGGCAACAGTCAATCGAAGGAGTACTAGGCCTTCCGGGAACCAAAGCCAGAACCTGGCCCCCCTTAAGAGAGGCACGAGGAGCAATGGCCTAAAGACACCACCGTGTAATTGGAAGCAGTCTTTGTCTGCCATCTACCAGGTCAGGCACCCAGGAAGGTAGGAATTCCAAAACAAACTACTGCTGATTAAATAATTGCAAACTGAAAGTCGAACTAGCAACAGGACTCTCCAATCAAAACCAAGGAAACCAGTATGATGTCACCACAAACACCGCGCATCCGTCTGCACAACCACCCCTCACCAGGAGGGGAACGGAGGGATCCCAGACCTCCGTGCCGGCAACTCTCCCCATTTCAGAGGCTGAGTATCAAAAATGCGAAAAAAACACCAACCGGAGGGAGGGAGGGATGCTGGGGAGCCTCCGGGTCTCACCCAGAAAATGGCATTTTATTACATTCAACGCTGGTTTTCTGTGGAGAGCCCCTTCAGCTCCCCAGAGCTACCTAACCAAAGAAAAAGAAAAAGGGACTTACCCGGGAGGTGGTCGTCACTTGCTCCTCAACTCGAAGTCGAGACAACTGGCTGCAACCTGCGACCCAAGGCTACACACGCCCGAGAAGGGCCAGGAACATTAACAAGATACCGTGCGGCCAGGACCCTGTTCGACCTCTAGAAGCTCCATGCCCGAATGTCAGCCCAGGAAATATTCCCCAAAACAGCAGCCAAAGCCGCGAACTTACGAACGTTATGAGCACGAGGATAAACCGCAGGCTGGCTGGACCCAAAATTCCTGCGGACGACCTGGGAAACCCGCACCCTGGAACAGGGAAGAAGGGAAACCGGGTCGACCCAAAGCGCGTCCCCTGCTACGGAGGCTGTGGTGCGCAGATAACGGCGAAGAGACGCAACCGGACATAAAACATGATGCACCCCCCGGCCGAACCAACCAAGCATCAACAACCCAAGGACCCCTTCAGAAAGCAGCAGACTTATTCTATGCCAGAAACGAAGGAGAAGGCTGCAAACGAACAAAACGACCACCAGGACCATAAGAGCAGAAACCCTTTTGCCGGAGGAGAGTGTGAAGCTCCCCAACCCGACCCCCAGAGGCCAAAGCCAACAAGAAAAGAGCCTTAGAAAAACAATCCTGAACCAAAGGGGCCACCACAAAGCGAGGAGAAGAGAGCACCCGGTCCAACGATGAGGACGGCTCAGGTGGCACATGAGCAGGCCCGAGGCGAAAAAATGCCCGAGAAAGCTTGCGGAATGGAGCAGAAATGACATCCACCCCGAAAGCATGCCTGCAGCAGCTCCACCAGTGCCGTCCGATACGAGGCGACAGTATTAGACATAAGATGACGGTCCTGAAACAACCAAGAGAGAAAGGACAAAACAACCCAATCAGAATTCGAAGAGAACCAACATAGAGACAAAAAATGCCGAAAGGACGGCCAGGAAATTTCATACTGCCATCTAGACGAAACTCTTAGGTGGGACACCATCAAAGAAGCCACCTGATCACCATACAAGTGGTGATACACCCACGTGAAAAAGACCAGATGCGAAGAGTGGAAGAGAAGATCGAACCAGCCACGTACCGGACTGGACCGATCTGCTGAAAGAAACGGAGCCGCAGGAAGACCCTCAGGTTCGGACATCGAGCAAGAAGCTTCTGAAACCAAGACTGGGCCGGCCACCAAGGAGCCAACAGAACTACTCTCCCCTGGTAAGTCTCCAACTGTGCCAGGATCCGGAGCAACAACTGGACTGGTGAGAAGAGGTACAGGTAACTCCACCTCAACCAGTCCAGCCGAAAGGTGTCAACATCGACGGCTTCGCAGTCTGGGAAGGGCGCCACATAAACTGGAAGACGCCTCGACCATGCCAGTGCGATGAGGTCCACCTCTGGGCGCCTGTACGTCCGGCAGAGCCAACTGAAAGAGTTGGCGTCGACCGTCCATTCCGTGGAAAGGGGAATGAACCGAGACTGGCTGTCCGCCAGGACGTTTGACACCCCTTGAACATGAACCGCCAGGTGAGCCAAATCCCGAGAACTTAGCAGACGTGTCACCCGAAGCGACCAGCCCCAAAGAACCAAGAACCGCATTGAACCCCCGTGGTTCAAGCAATGAACCACCAGGGAGCAGTCCGAATGGAGCCGGAGCATTGCTCCTCGAGCGACCCGAATCCTCTGAAGCGAATGCCACACCACCGCAAACTCCCACACCGTGCTGTGAGCTCGAAGGAAGGACGGACCCCACCGACCCTGGCCGGCCTGGTGAGCACTTGTCACAAAACCACAGCCGAGAAACGAGGCATCCGTGAACACATCGAGCGAGGGCTCAGGGAGGCGCCACGGCACAGAACCCCAAAAAACCTGCAGAGGAAGCCGGCAACGCAGAAGCCGACGTAAGGCTCCCAGGATCCGAACCCATCAATCACGCGAGCGGCAGAAGGGATAACCCCGCAGAAACCAGAACATCCGCCGACCCTAGATCTAACCCAATGGGTAGACCATCGCGGCGAACTTCAGGCTCCCGCACAGCCGCTCGAACAACCGACGTGTGACCCGGGTGCCCTCCAAAAACAGCCGGAGGCGGAACCGCAGCCATAACAGCATTGCAAGAGGGAGAGACAAGGAATCGGTCCAAGAGTCCCACACAAGACCCAGCCAAATTCGAACCTGAGAGGGAACCAAATGGGACTTCCTCCAGTTCACCAGGAACCCAAACCCGGTGAGCTGGGAAAGAACCATATCCCTGGCGAGCAGACACGCGGACTGGCTGGGAGCCCACACCAACCAGTTGTCGAGGTATGCAAGAACCCGAACCCCTAACAGATGCAACCGGGCCACCACAACCCGGGTAAGGCGTGTGAACACTCAAGGTGCCAGATTCAAGCAAAATGGAAGGCAACGAAAGCGGTAAACTTGTTGCCCCGCGACAAAACTGAGCCAGTCCCTGAACCCTGGATGAATTGGGATGTGCCAATACGCGTCCCGGAGGTCCAGAGACACCATCCAGGCACCCAGTGCCAAAAGTAGCCAGACCTGAAACAGGGTGGTCATCCGAAAAGAGGGGCAAAAGACCCAGGGATTCAGACGAGACAAGTCCAGTATGAATCACAGATCCGCACAGTCCCGTTTCAGAACTAAAAACAGGCGGGAAAACCACCTGAGGGATGTTGTCGTTTCGACCACACCCAAGCGAACTCACTCCCGGATGACCTGACAGAGCAGAGGAGAAGAGGCCTACCCTACCAGCCCTAATCCCCCCGAAGGAGGAGGAGCGACCCAACGCCACCGCAAGCCAGAGGAAATGACCCGAAATACCCACGAATAGCTTGACCAGGCTAGAGCAAATAGTGCGAGCCTCCCCCCTATCGCCCGTCAATGGGGCAACCTGCGAAAGGGCCGACGACACCTACGAGAGCCTGACTGACGCTCAGAGTGATCACTGCGTCGACCAGATGCCGACGACTCCAGGGGAGGTGCCAGCCCCGAATCTGGCACTACTGGCTTACGACATCCGAAAGATCCCCGGGACCTTTTTGGGCAGGACCACCATGCCACCCTTCCCCCCCCCCCCCCCCCGGACCAGCAATTCCAGCATAGGCTGGCAACTAGACGAAGCTGCTTGCAGAAAATGCACCACCGCAGACTCTGCAAACGGCAACGAACAAAAAGGGGAAGAAAATCTAAGAGCCAGGGCCCAAGCCGATTTCAATGAGTGGACAAGCACCGCTTGATGGCACTCGAGATGAGAAGCAAAGAACAGGGACACTGCCTCCCTCAAAATCGGTGCAAACAACTTCAACTTCAACAGCTTCAACAAGGCATCCGACGACCGAGCCGCCGAAGCAAACACACTGGACATGGGCCCAGATCCCAGTTCCTGCGCATCCTCGCCGAGCCAGTCCGAAGACAGCTCCAGCAGAGAAAAGAAATGCAAGACCAAAGCCAAATGCCTACAGGCACATAAATCCTTGGCCACCAGGGACGTCAAAAGGGAGGGAACCTGCACGTGAAGCTGAATCTGATCGACATCCCAAGAAAGTACGGAGGTGAACAAGCACGCATTGAGGTGCTCAAATTCGCCCACTGGGTAAACCTGAACAACTGTAGACACATCCTGCCATTCATTCGCATGGGTCCAACAAAACGAGTGCCATGCCCCCAAAGAAAAGAAAGGGTAGTCCGCCAGCCAGGAAGATTCCGGCACCTCGTAACGCATCCAGAAGGAAAATGAGGAGCCAAACTCGAAAA